GATCCCGCGCCGTCTGGACCCCAGATAATTCGATCCAAGATACGCAACTTCAGCTGAAGTCGAAGTATCTTGGATCGAATTATCTGGGGTCCAGACGGCGCGGGATCAACGGCCGCGGGCTCCCCCGTCGACTGCGTTACCGCCACTCGCTCTGGTGGAGTTCCGGAGTTGACGGTGAGCGCGTTCGGGGAACGATATATTGCGTCTTAAAGAGACGCGATATATTGATCCCGGATAAATAGATTTCTACCCGCCGATTCAGGCGGGTAGTGTAGACCTAGCCTAAGCCTTCATGTATGACACTTTTATTCTGGAATAAGGGCTTGTCTACACTACCAAGTTTTGTTGACAAAACTTATGTCAACACCCAAAAGGCGACAAAACAAAAATCGCCAAAAGGTGTTCACACTTGCTCCTCTGTCGACAGATCACATCCACATTGGGGACACCATCATCGACAGGGTGAGCAATGCACCATGGGTATGTATCCCACAGTGCAGTGTTGTGGGAAGGAAGAGCTGATCTGATCGCTGCACATCTTGGGATTCTCTCTGAGTTCTCCCACAGCCCCCTCAGCTGCCGAGAGCAACATCATGAGTAGCTCTGTGAGCTCTCAGTGCTGAGGAATGGCAAAGCAGCACAGCAGTCTACCTACTGCTGTGTTCCTAGTTCAGGGTAGAACGGGAGCATTCCAAAGATTTGCTCTTTGTTTGTTCCTCAAAAGGAGCATCATACAGCTACTTCCCAGAGCTTTGAAAGAGGAGGGGTGCATGCCTGCAGGGCAGCAGCGATCAAAACACTGAGCAGAGCAATCAGGGCAGGCATTGTGGGATACTGGCAGAAGCCAGTTCTGTCGACTAAACAACCAGCAGTGTCTACACTGGCTCTTTGTCGACAATAAAGGGAGGGGAAAAGACAAAAGTCTCTCATATGGGTGGAAGTTTTTTGTCACCAAAACTGGGTGTTTTTCACGACAAAGGTCCCATTGTACTGTGTACGCTCTTGCAGTTTTTGGCAAGAAAACTTGCCAGTGTAGTGCCTTATTCCTCTTTTGCTTAACCCGTGTCTGAAAAACCATTATTCTGGAATAAGAACCCACTACTGTGGAATTAATTAGGGATAGTTAATCAGGGATTCTCCAGGTTTAGACAAGCCCTGAGACATACGCAGAAGTCAGTTAAAAATCTTTGTTCAGTTATTTTTATTTATATAGATTGCATTCAGGTAACCCCTGCCTTAATATTAGTAACAATATTGTAGGACATCCCTCTATGGAACTCCAGTCAGCACTCCAGAGGGCCCTGGGTTATGTAACATCTGTTAATTTATGTTCCTATTCTGACAGCAATAATTGATGTGATTGCTCAAAACAGCATTTTACCAAGGTCCTGAACATCCCCCGTCCTCCCATCACATCCCCTGTTTTCATCCCCAACCCACTTGCTCCCCACCGACCTACTCCTCCAGGCACCCTTCCCTGGGAACTACTCCTTCAATGTTGCTCCCTGAACCCCAGATCTGCTCCTCCACTGCCACTGCGACTCCATACAGCTCTCCCCCATCCCCTCCACTCGCTACCCCTCCATTCCGCACCTGCCCCTCGCTCAGCATCTTCCCCCTCCCGGCGCTATCGCGGCGGGACAGGACAGGACGCAGAGCATCAGCGAAACTCCGGGCGAAGGGCAGAACCTTCAGCTGGACTTCACTTCTCTACTAGGCATGCGCGTACGCTTCGCGCATGCTCCTTAGAGCCGCAGCAGGGGTTTGCGCGTGCGCAGACGGTAGACGCAATTCTACCTGAGGCCGCGCACTTTTTTCCTGTTGCCCTGACTGCTGTGGTGTCATCGGCGCTTGGCCGGTCTCAGCAGCCCCTCGCTGCGGCGACTCGAGTTCCTCTGCAGCCGGCCATGCCCATTGCTCGGCTCGCTGCTGCGGAGCTCGCGCAGCACTGAGGGAGCCGCCGGGCCAGGGGAAGGCGCGGGTCATGGCAGAGTTCCCGCCAGTGCCGCTCTCCCTGCGGGAGGAGCCCCCGGCCGCCCGCTCTGGCTCCGAGTCCGAATCGGAGGCCGAACTGTCGCAGAGCCTGGCCCGCACCAAGATCCGCTCGTACGGCAGCACGGCCAGCGTAGCGGCCCCCCTGGCGGAGCGCTACGTGGAGCATCACCTCAGCGCGGGCGACACGCTGCAGGGCATCGCGCTCAAGTATGGAGTTACGGTAAGGGCGGCCCGGGGGGAGGTCCGGGGACCCCCGAGCCCTGAGCGGGGAGGGCGCCCTGGCCCGGCGCGAGGAAGCATGGGCTTGTGGCCGAGGCGCCGGGTGACCAGATAACAAGTGTGAAAAATCGGGACGGGTGGGGGGTGTAATAGGAGCCCATATAAGAAAAAGCCCCAAATATCGGGACTGTCCCTATAAAATCGGGACATCTGGTCACCCTACGCCGCGCAGAAAGGCGGCTAGGTCCCTGGGACATCGGGCGATTCAGTGATCTCCGCGGGCCCGCGTTTGTAGAAGAGGAGTCACAGCCCTTCCTCTTCCTCCTCGCCTCACAGTGTAAACGCTGGGCCCGAACCCGGGCCCGACCGCACCACGTGTGCGCAGGCCCAGCGCCGTGGGCCCTGAACTCAGCTGCGATGTGGAGCTACCAGAATATAATTAATGGGCCAGACCAGTGGGAGCGGGGGAGGAATTCCCAGTTCTGTGTGAGACAGCGCAGCTGCAGGAGGAGGGATCGCTGGCGAGGTATGAGCCACTTGGGGTCTGGGCAGGTGGGGAAGGAGGGATACCCAGCCAGATATATGGTACAAGAGCTACACAGTGTGGGAAATCCTTAGCCAGTTGTGAGTAGGGTTGCCAATTTTGGTTGGATGTATTTTTGGAGTTTTCATCACATGATATCTTCAATTAAAGATTAATCTTTATTTCCTGGAGACTCCTGGAGGGTTGACAACCATAGCTGTCAGCCAGAAGAAATGGGATGGAGAGTGACAGGAATCCTTGGTTAGATGTGAGCCATCTGAGGTTGTGAGAGGGATGGGGTGAGGTGAGAATCCTCGCTCACTGCTAAGGGAGTAGAAGGGGGCGTAGAGATGAAAAATCCCTCCTCATCACATGCAAGTTTGGGGGGACAGTAAGGTGATGGGGGAGTTAATGCCTGGCCCTCCATGAGCCAGTGGTTTCTGATGGAGGAGGGCTCAGTCCCTCCCTGGCCATGTGTTAAAGCAGAAGTTGCAGGAATAGATGAAGAAATGCCTGGCCAGCTATGAATAAGAGAAGACCATAGATGGGGACTCTTCATCCAGGTGCGAGTCTTTAATAAATGTATTGCTGCAGTAATAAATCCACAACCATCCCTTAAAAAAATAATCATAATCTCAAATTAATATCTACAACATGACAATGTGGCCCAGTCCACTGTGCAGGCTCCAGGAACCTGTACATGGTTGTTTCTAATAAGCTTTTCCAGATCAGCATAGATAGGAATATTTTTTTTCTTGTGAGAGCCATGATACATAAGCTGTGCTATACATTACCCATGCAAACCACCACCTGCTCTCTCTAGCATCAAGTCATAATAGTTTTCAAACCAAGTTTCAACTGCCCTAAGGGAAAACATACAAAAAACCTTCTAGTAACAGCTTTTTATATATAGTTATAATTAACAATATTTGGCTCCCATTGTGAATAAGGTCAAAGTCTTTATTTCCTTTTGGAAAGAAGAGTAACTCTACTTTGAGTCAAATCCTGATTAATCCTTACTGATTGGAGTAATGCTGTGGAAATCAGTGGAGTTACTCTGAGTTTTTTTGGTGTAAATGAAAGCAGAATCTGACTCAATAAGACTCTGTGAATAAGCTGAACTGGTTTGCCATTAGTTTATTTATACACTCACCATTGTAACTTAGTTTTTTCTCACACATTTAAAAAAAAAAACCTCTCACATCTAGTGACAAATAGTGTTGGAAATGTTTAAATTTAGTTTTTATTCAGAACTGGGACTACTGCATTGTAGTTCAATTTAATTAAAATACATTTGTATAAATGTATTTCTAAATAGAAACTTCAGTATTTCAGAGTGGCATTGTAGCATGGAATACTAACATTAAAAATTAAGCTCAATTTTTAACTTTGATTTAAATTACTTAAAATACATTTCAAGCCAGACCTGTCAAAGAATACACCTGAAACAAAATAGTAATCTAGCCCTCAATTTCAGATGTCAAGCTGTGCCTTTTTTTAGTTCTCCCTATTTAAATTGCCATTGTGACAGTATAAGAAGTAAGTACTAATTTTTCACTCCCATTTGCTATCTACCAGACATTCCTAGCAGTCTCCTTAATTTACCAAGTCTTGAGTAAAGGCTTTAGAGTTTTAACGCCCACATAATGTAAACAGAAGATTTTTTTTTAAATAGAAACTTAGGACCAACTTTTATTAAAGAATATCTTTGTATATGCCTTATAAAATGAAAAGTGCTTTAGCAGCAATCCCAGTCACGCTCGGCTCTGCCTCATAGGGCTAAACCAAGTCACTGACGTTTAAGAGAGTCTTTCTGTTGACTGCTGGGAGTTGGATCAGATCTTACTTCAGTAGGGGCTCAGAGTGATGTGAATGCAACATCCTCATCTCTTGAGAGGGTGAGGAGGATGAAGAACTTACACCTCTAACAATGACTTCCTCCAGCTGTTTAAGAAGAGGTATTGATTGTCTTTAAAGGAAACAAAAGGTCCACATATTTTCCCTTCACCAGAAGAGTGCTGGCTACAACATGGGGCATCATGTTTATCTACCACAGGTATCTTTCAAGTTGCTCTTGCCATTCTATCCACGTGCCAGGTAGGGAAAAGGATATCCAAGACCTTATTTATCTACCCTACTGTAAACAAAAGTTTTCTGCTATGGCTCCCTTCCTTATTGCTCCCATTGGTTGTAGCAATGATGGGAGCACTAGTGTTGACAGTCACTGTCATCTAGACCTGTTCTGAACAAGGGTAATGTAGTGTAGACGAAGCCTACAACTGACGAGAGATCGCATGGGGGCGGAGGGGAGATGTTAGTTTGTGGTCTTTAGTGAAATCTCTTTGGTAATCTGGGAAAATTTTGATGTTTATAAATAATATATTTGTAAAGATCTATCAAGCTGATTCTGTTAAACACCAAATAAAATCTTTAGTCGAAATATTCTAAGAGAATAAGTGAGTATGGGTACGTCGTTGTGGGAATTTAAAGGATGATGGCTAGAATATTGTTAAATGTTGCTCCTGCAAAGCCAAGAAGATGTGTGCTTTGTACAATGTCAACATTATTCCCTTGTAGGGTGACCAGATAGCAAATGTGGGGACGGGGGGGCGGTAATAGGAGTTTATATAAGAAAAACCCCAAAATTGGGACTGTCCCCATAAAATCGGGACAGCTGGTCACCCTAATCCCTTGCAACATCCCTAAATAAGTGACTACTATTAGTATTTTTATTTTACTGTTTGTTTTCTCCAAACATAGGGGGCATGTATAATAGGAAAGTTCATAAGCATTTTCTGCCTCGGTACAGCTTCACCTATGGCTGTGTTAAAAAACATTTTTTACCACCAGATTGTCCAGTTCCAGGGTTGAACAACATTAAGGTTAAAATACCTGTACTCTGTTTGCATTGCAACTTCCAAACTTCACCTATTTTTACCACAGGTGGACCTATGCCAGTGCAGAGAAATGCTTATGAATTTTCCCAGCATAGGAAAGGTCACAGTGTCAAATTCCACTCACATTTACACCTATGAATCCTTATTGGAGGCACTGAAGTTCTGTGAGTGTAACTGAACTTAGTCATCAGTTCTCAAGCGATGTACCCAAGACTACTCACAGAATTTTAGAGTGGAGATTAAAACATAGGGGTCCCTTACTCCTACCACTAAAATACATGGGCTCTCTGAAGGGCCACAAGAAGATGTACTTAAGCAGTATTCCAGGGAGGAAGAACAAACCATCACTGGCAGAGTTACAGTGAAGCATGATAAACAGCTTTAGGGTGCATTATTTATCAGCTATCATTTTGCTAGTTCCTTTACAAATGCAAGTCATGGTAGATATATTGGGTTTCAGCCTTTGTGCTACAGTTCTGTAGATTGATTTCTCCTTTAAAGAAAGTCATGCCTTCCAGTTACCAGTGTAATCAGAATTTTGGTATCGAGCAAGTAAATTATTCTGTATGCTTTGGTGGCTTCTGGTTTCTGGGGCCTTGGCCCTGAGATGTTCGCTGGGGCTTCAGCTCTGGCTTTGCAACCTATACTACCTAGTGAAATGGAGCAGTGTTGGGAGTGCACTGTGATCCAGCTGACTCTCCCTTGTGGGGAAGGTTGGAGAGCAAGAGGCAGTTGCAGGCAGGTCCCAACAAGGTAGGGAGATTAAAATAAAATTTCACATGCTTGGATGTAGCAGAATGTCAGATTCTAGTGCAAAAATGCTAAATTCCATAATATCTTAGAAAATGGCAAATTCCACAGCCATGAACTCCTGGGAAGCACAAGGCCCTGATAGAGATGAATGAGGCAGCTCACACGTCTCAGAGCTGTTGTTTCAGGCTCTCTGCAGTTATCACTTCATCAGTTTGCATTTAGTTCCTGTTTTTAAGGTTCTAGGGCTAGAAACAATTAAAAACAAAAGTGAAAGCTGAGGTTGTGCAGCTATGGGTGACTGTCACGGCAAATTCTGCAGCGGCAGAATCCGTGGGGCCCCTACCCATAATGATAGAAAGATGGGCCCCACTGAGATGTCAGTTTCTATTGTGTGATGGGCAGGTTACTTAGATCAAGATGGAGCACCCAGTGGTGAGGCCTCCAAACTGCATTTTGATATTTGTATAAATTGATTGTGTAAAATAAGGAGGGTAGCCACTGCTCACGCTGTAGAATTCCAATGGCTGGTTTTGGCCAGGAAGTGACCACCTACACTACCGTGCTCACAAAATATGGGACCAAATTCAGGACCTAATTAGAGATCTCTGCATTTATGTAAAACCAAACACACCAAAGCAGGGAGTGGCACCACAGATTAAACATATTCATCTGACTTCTCGAAAACCCATGAAGTTCACTATTTGTGGGTCTTTCAAGATAGGCAGACAGCTATATGGTCTAAACATCTTAGTGTGCCCCTGAAGCCCTAAACACCTTCACATGCTGGGATTACTTATACTTTAGGTCTAAGTAATCTAGGCAGTTCTCTGGGGGTTGCTCTCTCAGACTGGCCCCAACATGAATGCAAAATAATGCAGCTTTTTTCCTGCATTATTGTGTATTCTTTGCTGAGCAAAGGTGGCCTAAATTTGGGTTCTGAAGAGAATGGAATACTCAAATTTAGGGAAAGTTTCTTTATGTAGAACAAACATAAACATAAAGTCTCCTTAGGGAGACTTCCAGTAGCATAAAGCCTCGTTCATGGACAAAGAAAGCAAAGCAAAAAGGCTGAGTTAATGGCAAGACAGAACATAGTTGAGAATAAATGCTCTATATGCAATAGCTCCTTTTATATTCTAAATTAAGACAAAGTAATTGTTTCAAGGAAAGTCCTCACTTATAAAACTGCTTGACTGTTGTGTATTTTGAGGATGGTGGCATTCTGTACTTTACAGAAATCAGTACTGCTTCAATTTAATTGTTTTTCTTCTCTCTTCCAGATGGAACAAATAAAAAGGGCAAATAAACTATTTACCAATGACTGTATATTCCTGAGGAAAACTCTGAATATTCCAGTTATATCAGAGAAGCCGTTACTGTTCAATGGACTTAATTCGCTGGAATCGCCTGAGAATGAAATTATTGACATTTCTCTTTGTGGTGAAGGACCAATAACAGTTCAGGAAGAGAGTAGTTCTTCTTCTCCCAGTCCTCAAGAACCTGACAATCAACCTGCTGCACCCGAAGAACTATCTGCCAAAGATTTTCTACATAGACTGGACTTGCAGATTAAGTTGTCCAAACAGGCAGCCAGGAAACTAAAAGATGAGGATATCAGGTAAACTTGACTTTAAAATGAAGCATCTAATTTCAGACTAACACTTACTCCTTTTTATATCGGAGTTTTCGTAAGCCTATTTTTTGTAGCATTTGGACAAACACTAGTGATATTTATGTCTATAATCTTTCTAATTTAGGCTTATTTGCAGCACCCATCACAAATCACATTTATCATGTCGTGTAATGGACTATAGGAAGGTTCTTGGATACTACGGTGATTAGGATAGTATAAGAAGCTATCTAGAATAACAGTTGTATCTAAGCCCCGGCTATAAATCAGAGAAGGAATAACGTTGTGTAAAAAGTGTTGGTATAACACAGATTTCTTATTTGGTAGATGGTTATCCATATAGGCTCTGATTCAGCAAAGTACCAAGCACCCAAAGACCCTGTGGGAGCTGAAGGTGTGTAATGCTACATTACTGAGGCCCCCCAAGCAAAAATCTGAAATGGCCCCCAAATCACATTTGTAGATGTGCCCAATCTCATACAGCTTTCCTTTCTCACCCAAGCAATGCTCATTCCCCCTAGTAGCTGTCTATTCCTCCTTTACCACTCTCATACATTCACCTTCCCTTAGGCCTTGCCTTCACTAGGGAAAAAGATGTATTCTTAGCTAAGAGGGGGCTCTAGTGGCTTCATCCCATATCTCCATACACAATCCACTTCCGTAGGGGGATTGGCCCTTCCTTATCAAACATGCACGCCATACATGCTCCCTGGAGGTTCATCATTCCTTCTCCTCTCACATACCTTTCTCCTCCTCCTCTTAGTGCCCCCCACGGCTAATCATCCACACTTTTCATGTTCACCCCTTGGAACCTCATTCATTAGTAGTTCCTTGGAGTGAAGCCAGATATCAAGCCTTGCAGAAGTTGTTCCTTCCAGCCCTCTGTTGGCTTCAGTAGGGAGATACAGGCAACTGCCTGCCCAGGTGAGCTGCTCCTTAAATTGTACATGAGAAAAACCACAGTGCGAAGAGGAGGGCATGCCAGCTGCTGAGAAGGAGAAACTATCTACTTCTCCAGCTCTCAGGAAACAGAAGGTGGAGGTGGAGCATCTCCTTTCTAACCAACCAATGAGATGCATCTCCCTTCTCTCCCCAATGAGAGACTTGGACTGCAAGAGCCCTTGCAGTCATTTAGGCTGCAAGATCAGTGTTTCCTCCTGCAAGGGCCCACGTCAGATTCCAGGCTTCTCAAAAACTACAAATGCTGCAGGGTGGTACTTACAGCCTTAGTGCTTAGCACCTCACAAGACCAAATCTGCTGTATCAGATGAACTAAGTTAAAATTCTACATAAGAATGGCCATACTGGGTCAGACCAAAGGTCCATCAATCCCAGTATCCTATCCTGTCCTCTGACAGTGGCCAATGGCAGGTGCCCCAAAGGGAACAAACATACAAGTTATCATCAAGTGATCCATGCCTTGTCACCTAATCCCAGCTTCTGGCAAACAGAGGCTAGGGACACCTAAATTCTATAATTTAGGTATCTTATTGTGCAATTAAATATATTTTTAATGCTGTAAAGATACAAGCATTGTTCCTGAGCTGTATGTAATAGCAACTAGAAAAGTTAGTAGCTGGGCTAGCAGTAAGAATATTTGTAGGAGGGGATTTGGCAATACAATTCTAGTGTTGAGCTGTTGGACAAACCCCTTGTCATGTACGACCCAGTGAGTCTAGTTCATTTTTCACTGCACTCTACACACAGCTCCCTTGCCCTGAGGATGCGTATTTAGGTCCGTTGTCTCACATAGAAGGCTGTGGATGCTCTGAGTTAAGAGTCCTGTCTGATTAGCATACTTGTGTGTCATAGGGTAGACTTTCTGAACTGCTCTCTTCTTTAGCTCACCACTGTTAAGTCTCTTGTCCATCTTTTGATATGCATCTGCACAGGGCCGGCTCTAGGATTTTTGCCGCCCAAAACAAAAACAATTTTGGCCGCCCTCCCCCTTCTTTAATTACCCCGGCCCCGCCTCAACTCTGCCACTTCCCCAAATCCCCAGCCCTGCCTCCTCCCATCAGGCTCTCAAGCCT